AAAACATTCAATTTCAGTAAGAATTTTCTGTCTTTCAGTAACTTGACCATTTTTTGTAGAAAACAGGTAGAAACCACCAAGATTTTCCTGTGAGACATTTTACGTATTTTCCAGAACATAAGACAGTATGTACTAATTCCCTACATTTATTTCAGTCCTATCAGAAAACATTAGCCATCATGTTACTGTAACCATAATGCAATCTTCCTACATCTAGTCTCAAAGAAAGCAGAAATGGTACAACACATTTGATGTACAAGCCCTAAAAACCAAGAAATGGAAAATCAAGTCGTTAGTCAAGTACATGCACCGGAATCCTTTAAACTTCCCCAGTGATCTTAATTCTGTTCTCCTCAATTTCCAATTTCTAAACATGTTCTCCATCAAATTGCCTTCCTTTCTCAGAACAGTGGTATAGGTTTTCTAAAAGAGTTTGGAGAGAAGAAAAGAAAGGTGACCTGAATAACAAGAAAGAATGTTACATATTGTACTATGCCAATTCAGTGCTGATGAAGTTTTGCGGTCAAGCAGTTGCTATTTATTAAACTCAAATGTGACAGAAATTAACAGCCTCTAGCGTTCAAAATACGTGCACATTCTATGATACACAGAAGATACATAAAATGAGCCAATGGCAAGAACCACATATTATATTAGTGATCATTAAAAATTCAATTTAAAACCCAAAAGCTGTTTGTTTCAGACTTACATGAAATTTCTCTAAAAATTGCATAACTCAAGATATTTTTAATGAGTATCAGACAGCATTCTTCAGATTGCCATGAAATCTTCAGCCATGCCCAAATTTCAAAAACTCTTCTAATATATTTTGTTTGTACATATGTGTGTGTTTGAGAGTTCATACCGAGAGGCCACATACTTCTAGATGGGAAAAAAAAGTTCCATTTAAGTCCTTTCGAAAACAGAATCTGGGAATTCTCTGTAAAACCTGTAAAACTGATATGTTGCTTAGACCACAGTAAGATTCAGAAGACCTTCAGTGTAAATTTAGCTTTATTTCTTTTTCTACGCCCCAGAGTAAAAGATAAGTTATTTTAAATAATATGAAAATATAATGGTAATGACTTCTTAAAGAAAAAAGATAACCTTTGAGTTAGTTCTACTTGTTATTAAAACCAAAACTTTTATTATCTACATGACCCATTCAAATGATGGTGGTTAGTTACTGCAGAATGACAGCTTTATGTTTGGATTCCTCATTCTCTTTACATTGCAAGCTTAACATGAGTGCTCCAGGAAGAATCATAGAATGTGTCAGGCTAGTTTGGACTTTTAGAGGTCATCTAGTCTAACCTCCCTACAGTTAAAAGGTCATCTTGAACTAGATCAGGTTGCTCAGAGCCCCATCCAGCCTGACCTTGAATGTCTCCAGGGATGGGGCCTCCAGAACCTCTCCGGGCAACCTGTGCCAGTGCCTCACCACCCTCATAGTAAAGAACTTCTTGATAGCCAGTCTAGATGTACCCTGGTCTAGTTCAAAAACGTTGCCCCTTGTCCTGTCGCTATATGCTCTTATAAGCAATTCCTCCACAGCTTTCCTGTAGGCCTGCTCCTTTCTCATCTCTCTACAACAAGATCAACACAGCTGCACTCACAGGCTCTTCCCAGTGAAAGGGACTACAATAACAATACCTTTATTTGCAAGAAAAAAAGCAACACATCATGAATATAAAACAGGAAGCTGATGATACAGCAGGAGCTACAGAAGAGATCTGGTAAAAGGGTTATCAACTGCTGCAAGCATCAAAGGCTTCTAAAACCAAGGGTTAGTTCTTCACCCAACTGAGTGCCTTTTCCCTTGTAGAATCTAGTCCCCTACTAAGTCTTGCACTTCTTTCTGAACTTGCATCACATCATCATCTTTATTTTTTTGATGAATGATAAAGAGGAAATAGGACTGCAAGCTGCTGCTCTGTAAGATAGCTTTTCACCACAAGGGAGCTACTTGAAGACAGACATGAATTAAAATTTAATCTAATTTCAGAAACCTTGCTTTAATTAGAGAAACAACTTGCATAGAGGTGAGTAAACCTCACCTATAAATAGCTCTGGAACGGTAGACACTTAAAAGTTGAAACATTACAAATTAATTAAAATAAAACAATCACAAGATTAACAACAGTGAAAGGTAGAATAATGCACTTGAATTACACTGATACAAAGTCCTAAAATCAAATCCTCGGTCTCTTCAGTTGCTGGCACCAGCACACACAAGTCCCTACTCAGAGTCCCATCCAGCTGTCAAGACGAACATCCGCTCCAAATTGCACCCCACCACACAGACACACGCTGCAGGTCCCTGCAGTAACTGGGCTTCAACATCACAGTCCATCCAGTAGCCAGCCTTGGATTTTCAATCGCCCCGGCTGTCTCACTCACACCAAAGGGTCTCTCAGCTGACCCCAGATCCGAGAGTTTCTCCAGCAGCCGTCATGCGCAATCTGGTTACTCCAGTAGCTAACTTCTCTACATGACTCGCTCCCAGAGACACTCACACACACACTTGGCTCACCACCCATCCCCAGCTACTCTAGCTTTATTTTGCTAGTGATGGGCACCAACACACTTGCCTGCGGCCAGTCGGGCACCCCGGTCATCCCGTGACCCATGCTCTTACTCTAGTGGCTGGAACTTAGATCTCCATAAACACATATGCACACAGACAAGAGTTGGTTTTGTTGGTTTGGATTTTTTGGGTTTGGTTTTTGGTTTTGGCATGGGTTTTTTTCTTTAGCAGACACAAATAAATTTTGGATTTACATTCTTTTCTAGTACAAGTGACTAATGTACCTATGATTTCCATCACCCCATTATTTTGGAAGTGACATCTCAGTGGGCCCTTCTCCAAGGCTCTCAAACTGTGCTCCAACTGCGTGCCTTAAGCAAAAGTTTAGTGCCCTCTCTGCTGAACATGACAGTTTTGCAAGCTTTTATACAGAATATAATCAATATGAAGTATTAACTGTACTTGTATTGAATTTATCCTTTCATTTGTTGCTCAATTCACAATATCCATAGAAATCACATATGAAACATAGGTACAAAGGGCAGTCATATCATGTAGAGTTTTAACCATAGCACTTAATCCTGTTTAGTTTTACGTGTTTGTGAAATCAGAGTATATGTCTACATAATGCAATAATGCACCCCTTTAAAATATTTTGCATCTGAAAGAATGAATCTTACCTAATATGCTCTCCAAATGCTGCTTTTAATCTCACATAGGCAAAAAGAAAACTAGTTTTCTCCCACAGTTCATGAGTGAAAGCCATTGTTTCCATTCGTATGCTTTTCCTTAAAGTGTACATCATCACAAAGTGTTTGTAGCCATCAAACTTTTAAAATAACCTATGTACTTCTGTTCACCTTATTTCTATGATGAGAGACCTCACAGCAAGGATGGAATAACAATATGGAAACTAACCACCTAATCCAGCTGGACACACTTTATTGAAGTCTTATTACTTCCATGTGTAAAAGGAAACTAAAGCCAAACGCAATCCCAAATTTTTGGCATTCTTACTGCGCACTGCATCCAGCAAAAGAGAGTCTCACTTCTCACTTTTATTATTAGAGCACAATGATACTAGACATATGGACTTAACTTGATCATTTAGAGATCAAGTGTTTTAACTGGATAAGAAAAGTATAGTCTTTATTATGCCTAAAGCAATTCTGTTCTTTAAAAAGCTGTAATGCTTTGTAAATATTATTTCTAATCTCTTTTGCTGTATGAGTAGTCTTAAAAATAACTAGTATCAAAAATTTAGTATAGGTGATAAAATCTTCAAGAGCAGAAATAAAGAGTAATGACAGTATGGTTATAGAACAGACTCAAGCCAACCAATTTATATGAAAGGAACTGGCCATGGGTAAATTCCATGCCAGAAAGTTATATTGCAATCTATTCTGAGGTGGCACGTGTGATAAAATAATACTTCTCAAGATACAAAACCTAGTTTCCTAAAAAATATTAATATTAAATTAGGAGGTACTATCATAAAACAAATATTTGCTTTCAATATTAACAGAAAAAAACGCATTTTAAACTTTGCTTTCTACATAAGTGATATTTGTCAAGACACATCTCTGATATGAAAAAAAACCCCAAGATGGATCAACCAGTTAGGTACCTTTCTTAGTGGAGGTGTGAGGAGATTAAAAACTCATTTTGTAGTTGAGCATCCCATGCTCTTCCAATATTGACAAACTTTTTTTTACTTTTCAACTCACTTTCTTCTCCAGCATATGTTCTATCCTTTATTATGCCAGTAAATTATGACACTGCTGCAGAGCTTAGAATTGTTCTCAACTGTTAATAACACAACACACTAAAACCAAGCTCCTTTGGTTGAGTTTATTTCACATTTTTTGTAAGAATTTAACAAAAATCACCACTTTCAGCATGGTTCGCAGTACCTTATGAACTTTCCTCCACCTATTTTAATCAGAGAGGCTACCTACAAAAGAAGGGAGGTCAAATACTAATTACTTTGAAGGCTGATAAATATTTGGATCTTGAGAGACAAAATTTTTTAGAATGGCCTAGGCTGGAAGGGACCTTAGAGATCATCTAACACCACATTACACTGTACTGGACATGGGTGCTTTTTCTGTTTGATTTCAACACTCCTAGAAAGGTATGTTTAAGAAGCTTTGGGGATAACAATATGAGAAAAGCAAAAAAAAAAAGTACATTAAAAACAGATTATGTATAAATATTTTTTTCTTTGCATCTCCCTGCTATTCAGGGAAAGTTAAACTCTCTAGCTTAGCACATCCTCCCTGCTTTTCAGGGAAAGTTAAATTTTCCAGCTTAGCAGATGTTAAGCACAGTGCCTGGTAGGTACATGGCTGCTCAACTGTTCAGATAAAGTAACACAAACATCAGTATGAAAAACTCAACTTTTAATGTAGTCAGAAATGTTCTCTCTATAGGCAAACAGTCAGTCACACCAAACACTTAATAACCCGTGTACCTGAACTGTGGAACTGATTTCAGATGCAAATCCTCCTGTCAAGGGAGCCTCGTGGCTAATCAGCAATCGCCCAGTCTTCACCACTGACTGAAAAGGAAAAACAAACCCCAAAAATGTAATCAAACTCCAGCTCTTGTGATTTCTTACTTGTACTACTCATGGAATATATGAAATATTCAACATTATTTGCAGTGTTAGAACATAGCTATTTTTCCTCTTTTGCATTTTCAATGAAAGATAAATCAACCTACAAGTCTCAATTGAGTAATTAATTGGATGTTTTTAAAATAACTATGAAAAAAGTGCTTACATCCTCCACTCCAAGCAAATATCAAGAATAATAATTGATTTCACTGAATATGAATTTATCCTATCAGTGAAAACTGTAATACTTCTGAACGAGAGTAAGGTTTAGAACAAGAAGTCAGTAAAACCTTGGATCTTGAAAATTTTGAAAGACGGACATGTAAAAAAATTCTTCACTGATACATACCTCTGCACAATCAGATTCTAGATAAACTCATCATTCATAGTTATTCAAAAAGTAAAACCCTTAACTAAAAATTTTAGCAAGAAAAGAATTATGCAGTTAATGCTATTTATTTGTTTCACACAGCAATTAGAAGCAACATTTGCTAATTTTAAATCCCAATATTTGTGCAGTTTTTGTCATCTGCTTTATAAATAATTACACAGAACAATAACAGAAGGTGATCCAAACCAGACAACTTTTAACCAAACAACAGTCTGAGCTCATTGTGAAATACAACAATGAAAGCAAAATATTTTTAATCCTAAGGGAGTACAAAGCTTCACCACACCCAAAGATCTTGAAGTTCATTGTCATGACATGCTAAAATCCCAAGAATCAAACTATATCAGACTCCTTTAATCAGAAACATGGCAAAGTCTCACTCTTCATAATACAGATTGCATAGTCTCACAGAGTGCACTGAAACTTTCATGAACTTCTAAAGACGCACAACAGGAAATAAAATCAGAATAATGTGTATGCTAATATTTCAAGAACAGTAATAGTCTGATTTTTAGAATAAGTATATAGTGTACTGCTAGTGTACTGTTAGTCACCAAGTGGAAAAGCCCATAACAGTGCTAACTATCAGGTCAGACTTTCTTAATGGTGCGTTCTTCAATTTAACTTCTGCACCAGCACGTTCTCAGGGCAGGCAGCTCCATGTTGAGCTACATAAGAGAATCTATGAAGGCAATGCCTTAATTAGAAGATTTCCCTTCTGATTCAATCAAGTCCTTTTGTAATTCTTTCGTTTTTCTAGCAGTGACTCAGCCAACTGCTCTGAGTAGCTCAGTCACAGATGTACTGGCAAGTCACAGGCCTATAAACAAGATGATCCATATACTGTACTATGAAGTGGTTTGACAACATTCAGAGCTAAATGAGACAGGAAAAGGCGCTTCAACAGTTGGAAAGCAATCCACAGTTATGTAGGCTGATTTCTTGCATTTCTTTTGCCAGCACTGGAAACTCATATCTAAAGTGCAGAGGCATTAACTGCACCATAAATCTGTCCAGTACATCAAAACAACAGTTCAACGAACAAAACGTACACTTCAGTTTTAAGCTTATATGATTAAACTGATACAGTCAGCTTTAAGTTGCCGAGTTAAGACTGATACAACTAAAGAATTTTAAAAGATTTTTGGGGGAATCCTCTTATGCTTCTTTTAGCCAAAGATTATTTTGCACATATTTGTTTTGAGAGGTTCACACACCAGCTATCATTAAAGTTACAGATCTGGTTTCCCAGAATTTAAGAATATGAAACAGACACAGTTAGAACACATAAGAAAATCCACAGGTTATCAGACCAGTAATCCAGCAGATCAGTATCCTGCCTCCACGATGGAGATAAGCTGCTGACTAAGAAAGAGTAGGAATAGGGCCTTTCATGTGTTTCTTCACTATTTCTTAGCCTCAACTATTTTCACATCTCAGGTTTGCTGAGCCTAATGCGATTTCTTGCTTTAAGTAACTAATAACTTTTCTTGCACGGATTTCTCTGCTGATCCAAACAACAAAGAAGAAAAAAGTATTTTTAAATATCTCATTTTGGAAACTTGCTTCTCCTCTATGAGAAATCACTATTTTTACATGTGATTCCCAAGGGCTTCAAAGATTCCTTGCCTGTGGGAGCTTGTTAAGAGCAAGCAGGCAGCTGTGATAACCAAGCACTGCATACAAGTATCTCAGCCCAGCTAAAAAAAGTACTATACATCTCTCCCGGTGGAAAACCAAGCTTTGGTACTCTTGGTATCCATCTTAGATTGTTGAGGGCCAGCATGGATACCTGCACTGTGTTGTGCCTTGTGGTGCACATGTCATAGCTTAAAAATTCTCCTAATGGTTAATCTAGAATCCAGATGAGTAGAATTAACCACCATACTGCATTGCAAATAGAGTCTGGGATTTCCAGGAAAGATGTATTACAGTTCCTGAATATTACAGGCTGCCCTCCACCAATTTCTACTTCACATCAATACTTATTCCTCAACTAAAGTGAGTCTGTCAGAAAGACACACGATTTAAGCATGTTATTTCCAGTGTTTGCAAATGCATTACAACTATTTTTAAGCTGTTCCAGTGTTTAACTGCCTTCCCTGTTACATTTTTTGCACCTTATTTCCAAACTAATTTGGCTGATTTCAACTCCAAGCTGTTGGTTCTTATTTTACTTCTGTTTGCTAGATGAAGAATTTATTCATTATCACATTTCTGCTCTCCACATAAATACGTTAAGATTGTGATCAAATGATCTCTTAACCACGCTTTGATTAAACTAAGCTGACTGAGTTCTAAACCTTTCACCATAGAAAACACTTCCAATTCTTTCATCATTCTTACAGCCCTACCCTGAATCATCTGGAGTCTTCAATGTCCTTCTCAAAGTGCACCCATCTGAAACCAGCATTCGAGCCTTTTTTGAGAACAACAGCAAATAAGGAGATAATACAACCTCAGTACTGCAGCTTTTGGAGCCTTTTGGCCAAAGTGTAACAACCGCTTCAAGTGATGACTGCGATTCTTTGTTTTTGGCAAAGAGGAGTTTGTCCTTAAAGGCTAATTGCTTCTTGGAATAAAGATGGAAATATAGTGTGCATTTATTATTTCCAGATAAAAAAATTACATTTGTTTATGCTGAAAAATATACCACGTGCCTGAGCCCAGCTCAGTTTATGAACATATCTTCTCTTTATCAGCAACTATTTCTCCAGCTGTTCGTTACCTCTAACTTTTTCAGTAACAGTTTTAAATGTTTTCCTTATCTCTGACAGAAATATTTAAAAAAAGGTTAAAATCCAACTCTACAGGACCTTGTGACTTTACTGCTTCTTTTTACTAATGCTGCCCTTCTATGCCATACAAAGTCAGCGCAGCACTAAGAACTTACTTCTCAAACTATGTTAATTTGTTTTGTGAGTACCTATTAAAGGGTTCTCAGACAACATCGAATTGTTGGTCATGCATTTGTAAATTAGTTTTGCCAACTGCTTCCTTCCCGTTTTTTTGGTTCTAGTTGACTCTTCCTTACTGATTTAGTACACAGGGTTGTTGGGTTTTTTTGTGAGAAAACTGCTGCATAAGATATCAGACTAATAAATACCACTGGTATAAAACTGGAGAAAACAGTGATTAAATCGGCACAGTGCAAAAAATCCTGCATAGAATCCTGCTGTTTTATCACTTTTAAAAAGGATAGTTGGAGTGGCTTCTTTTCCATTTGAATTAGCTACAGAAAAGGATGGCTTTTCAAACAACAATGTAGTTTGTCCTCTCACAACCAGACACTTGTTGCATTTTTGTAAGGGCTTGATTGAACTCCATTTCCACAATATCCCCACACTTTGTATTCCAACATCCCAGTCTTCACTTTAAAAGATTAAAATTTTGAAATCCATGCACATTCTGCAGCTTGTAAAAAGCAATCTTCAAAAAATATGGTGTGGCTTAGGAGATTGACACTGATAAAAATGTTCTTTCTTTATATCCACAACCAGAAGTTGTTGTTTGCTGATCCTTAAATCCAGAGATAATTTAGAGGGCACTGAGAGATTCTGAAGGCATCTCCTATCTCAAATTAAATGAAAATGGAAACTTTTTTTTTTTGCCGTCTTTATTAACAAACCATAAAGGCAAGTCAGAAGCAGTATCTGGGCATTTAGAGAGCATGGCTCCTCTTTGTGTCACGGTCATCCTGGACCTTCCCAGCTGAGTTCAGCTGATGCAACCCTGGTTGCTCCCAAAAGGGAGATGTCCTACCCCTCCCTCCATTATGCCCTGCTCCCAGCTCAAGCCTAGCATCTTCTCAAGTCCTGAAGGGGCCACAGGGTAAGCCAGCTGGAGGAGATAATCCAATTTATCTGGCAGCAGTGTACAGTTAGCAGAAAGCAGCAAACACCACCCCAGAGACAGATTCAGAGGTCAGAGGCAGATCAGGATGCGCTCACAGAAAGCTTCAGCCCTCCGGAAGGCAGCTGAGACCCAGGTCACGGCACACCACTGCTACCTGTGCTATATCCAGCCATTAGAGAAAAGACTCCAGGGCTTTCAACTAATAAAATAACCCTAAAATCAAAAGCAATATTGATTATACTTTTCCACCTCAATTTCATTATCAGGACTGTTATACATCAGTGCCATCCACAAGGACGACAACTGATGTTGTGTCAGAGCAAAAGATTAGTGGCATGATAACCCCAATAATGATATATAAAAAAACCACCTTAATGCCTTTGCAAGAATAATGCTTTCAGATCGCACTCCAAAGGTTTCCTGAACTGCAGCCCAGTGGTTTTACAGTAAAGCAGCTGAGTAAAATATTTTCAACCTCCCTGACCACAATCTGTATCCAAGAGTTTCTATAATCACTTTTCTGTTCAACTCCCAATTCATCACGTTGGCCGCTTTCTCCCCTCCTACAGGCACTGTTGACAGAAGAAAACGACACAAGTCTGACACTTCCAAGTGCTTTGAAATGTAAGTGCTGACATTACCAATAACATACATGCCCTTGCTTAGGAGAAAGCAGATGTAAACAAAATTAGTCTGATG